ACAAAAATTATCTAGAAATTGGACCAGAGTTGAAAGAAGATTTTATTGAAGCTAGAAAACCGGTTAAAACTTAGGTTTCCTAGCTTCAATAAAATCTTCTTTCAACTCTGGTCCAATTTCATTTTTCAGTACTCTTATAGTGGAAAAATATACATCAATATTGACAGCATGGGTTATCTTCTTGTTCCGGATTTCTTTCAACTTATTTGACATGCATTTTGTGTAATCAACTGCATTTTTGTCAAACGAAAGAGTCCACATCTGCGAAAACCATTCTTGATGATAGTCGGATTAACCGATTTCGTAAACGATTTTGCAAAAAGTGCCGGGAACGCGGCTTTTGTCAAGGTTTCATGTTGATACTTACGAACATCTTCTCGCCATTGTACTTTCACTGCTTTGAAGATGATACATCGCGTGGCTGTATCAAGTGTGTAGCATTTAGATGTAGGCAATATAGAATGATTTTATTTACTGTGCGAAACTCGTGGAGTGACAAGCCAACATGATCCATAAAAACGATCATCGGTAACTTAATTTTGTCTCACTTTCAGGCCCCACGTCAAAATAGTAACCCGTCACGCACGTTTTTATCTGAGTAGGCTCAACAGTATGTTGGGCCGACACAGTAAAATGTCCCTCAGAAACAAGCGTACCCTTTATAAGGTCTGTATACGACCAGTCATGTCCTACGCGGGCCCCATTTTTGCCCACGCCGACCCTAAAATTATTAATGAACTCCAAATAGTTCATAACCTTTTCTGTCGTCGAGCTGCGAACGCACCTTGGTACGTCCGTAATGCCGACCTTCATCGGGACCTAGAGCTCCCTACAATTCAACAATTTCTTAAAAAACTCTCTGAGAACTTCTTCAAAGCCTCAGAGTCGCACTCCAATCATCTTATTCGTGAGGCAGCTACTTATGCAGCCCCACACCCCTCTCGCTATCGAGTCCCAGGCCGAGAAACTCTCACTCGGACCCGCCTAATAAACTGTCAAACTACCTGAACTGCCTCCTGGCGGCTCAGGCAAACTCTAATTAAATTAAATTATTCATAATTAATTTGCCTTCGTAGGCAGTCCCTCAGCGGCTCGTAGCCGCCTGCGCCCTCTTTTCCCAAAAGAGGGTCGCTTCCGATACGGCATAAGAAGCTCAAAATTCCAGTTGCCAGTCCCCATAGGCGGTTTTTAGAGGGTATCACTTAGGTTCCCCCGGTAGGCTGGATCCCCTGGTATGCGAAATGCATTTTCCGCCTCCCTACATAAAGGGTAGCCCATTCCAATTGCTTCGGGCGCAAAAAAAACTTAATTTTGTTTTCGACTAGCCATGGGTGGAAAACATGTTTCATATATTATTTGAAAGTAGCTGCCACCATACAGCCTGAATCAGTTCGCCCAATAGCCCAGTGTTCCGGAACATGGTTTTTAAGGTGCTTTAAAAGTCTTTTTCAATTTTATTAATTTAGATGAAAAGTGTATATTTTACAAAATTTTCGAATTTATAGTCTTATCGCTTCTTTTAAGATTTTTTTAATAAATTTTATTGTTGTTCTTAAAATCGCTCGTCTATTACCAATTACATCAAAATCGCTTGATCCGTTCGAAAGTTATCGCTGTCAAAAGATTTTATAAAAAAATGGTAATAACTTCTGCATTTCTGCTCGGATCATTTTTAATTTAATGAGTTAACTATTAGTGCGTAAAAATATTTGTCGAGCGTTTTGAGATCGAACATAGCGAGGAGTTCCAGGGATGGCCTGCAAGGTCAACAGGTTTTTTCTGTGTGAGTAGCTATGCAGGTTTAGAAAGACCAGTATCACTGCGACCTATAAAGCCTAGTAAGGTCAATCAGTTGAAACATATATCTAAATCTACCCCATCAAGTTCAAGTAAGTCCACGAAAAAGAAATAGAAGAAAGTAAAGAAAAAAGGCTAATATATCCCTAAAGGAATCTGAAAACCAAAATCCTCCTCACATAGGTCTTGCACCGATTAGTTTCCTCTTGACGCAACTAGATGGCAGCACGTTAACAGAGAACATTAACACCTGCGTCACTGCTGGGACCTCACAAGAAGGTGCAACACCAAAAAAAAAAGGAAGTCGACAACTTAATCGCAAAAAGAATCGCATTTTCATTCTTGTTGATGTCCAACTACATGGATAGTCTTCAGCTTTAACCATGGAGTATAGAGATAAGGAGGACAATCTCCCATAGGAGAATAGTTGAAAATGTGTCCATCTGTAAGCAATAAATAACAGTTCAAAAACTCTCCACAACAGCGTTCGAGTAGCTACAGGGTATGATAAATCGCCGTAAAATACTTTAAGAGTGGTTTTGAAAATAAAAATTTTGAAAGCAATAAAATAATTATTGTAAAAAGAATGATGATGAAAGTCTATGCAATATAAAAATTATAAAAATATTTTAAAATTTAGACTGTAGCTACAGTGGGGCCACCCTTATTTAGCACTTTCCTACGTACACTTTTTTATACAGAGTCTGTAATCCTTACCTCTACACTACATAGCTCTAACAATGTCAAGATTATGGAGTGTTTTTTTTTTATGGAAGAGGAGGCAAACGAGCATGCGGCTCACCTGATGTTAAGTGACTACCGCCGCCCATGATGAATTGCAGGTGCGTTGCCGGCCCTTTAGACAGGAGTAAGCTCTTTTCTTGAAGGTCCCCAGGTCGTATCGGTCCGGAAAAATTGCCGGTGGTAAACTATTCTACAGAGAGGTTGTACGCGGGAAGAAAACTCCTTTTGAAACGTACTGTGGTGGACCGCCAAGCATCCAGATGGTGTGGATGGTATCGGGACGTTTGCCGCGTAGTGCGTTCACGAAATTTGGCGGCTGGGATTAATCCGAATAATTCCTCAGAGCGCTCTCCATGGTATATGCGAAATAAAATGCAAAGAGATGCAACGTCTCTTCGCAGTGCCAGTGAATCGAGCCGATCGGAAAGCACTCGGTCGTCGACGATTCGAGCCGCTCTGCTCTGGATGCGGTCAAGTGGAAGGAGCTGGTACTGGGGAGCCCCAGCCCAGAGATGGGAACAGTATTCCATGTGCGGCCGAACCTGCGCCTTGTAAAGTCGCAGGCGGTGTGCAGGCATGAAATACTGTCCCGCTCTGCTGAGCACGCCAAGCTTTTTAGAGGCCAATTTGGCCTTATCTTCCAAGTGATCACAAAACTGCTCGTCACACGATATGTCAACGCCGAGGATTTCGATACTGGCTGAGGCAGCAAGGAGAGTGCCTTGAAACTGAGGAGATACGACAAAAGGGTTCTTTTTAGCGGTTAACGCGCAAACTTGTGTCTTCTGGGGGTTAAACTGGACTAGATTTAATCGCCCCCAATCCGAGACTCTGTTCAGCAAAGACTCGACTTCAGACACAAGTTTGTCCCGGCACTCGGAGATGTTTTCCCGAGAAATATTGGCTCGGCCGGTGTAAAGAGTGCATCACCAGTGCTGTCATCCGCATAGCAATGAATGTTACGGGTTTGCAACATATCATTGATATGCAGAAGAAACAGCGTTGGCGATAGCACGCAGCCTTGTGGAATACCAGCATTAATAGGCTTGAATGAGTTTGCACCGTCTACAACGACCTTGATGCTCCGATCTGCAAGAAAGCTGGTGATCCAATCGCACAATTTCTCGGGAAGCCCATAGGAAGGGAGCTTCGAAAGAAGCGCTTTGTGCCAAACCCGATCGAAGGCCTTCGCAATGTCCAAACTAACGGCCAATGCCTCCCCCTTGGACTCTATTGCCTCCGCCCATCTATGAGTTAGGTAGACCAGAAGATCACCAGCTGACCGACCACGGCGAAAACCGTATTGGCGGTCACTTATCAGCTGGTGATCCTCAAGGTACCTCTTGAGCTGGCAGTTTACAATAGACTCCATTGTTTTGGAGAACAAGGAGGTGATGGCGATAGGCCGGTAGTTGGATGGGTCTGAGCGGTCGCCTTTTTTAGGGATCGGGTGGACGAAAGCCGTCTTCCATGATATTTCCAGAGCCATGCATTCCTCCAAAATCAACTACACGGTGTTGATTCCCATCAACGCAAAACTAGGCACAAGAGATAGCGGTGAGCTGAAGGTGGGGAAATTTGGAGTAGGGCAACGGAACCGAAGGGGCCAGCAGCTGGCCGACTTTATGGAGAAAGAGGGACTCTTTATGATGAACTCTTTCTTCCAGAAGCGGCCCCACAGGAAGTGGACCTAGTCGAGCCCCGACGGTTCGACAAAAAATGAGATTGACTTCATTATGACGACCAGACGCCAACTGTTCAGTGATGTCTCAGTGATCGCAAGGGTGAAAACTGGCAGCGATCACCGAATGGTTAGAGGCACACTGAACCTAAAAGTTAAGTTGGAGAGGTCTCGTCTAATGAAGTCAACGCTCCGTCCCCCTCGTGCTCTAATCCAGAATCCCGAAACCTTTCAGCTCGAGTTACAAAACCGCTTTCAGTGCCTAGAGGATTGCAATGCAGTGGACGATATGAATGACAAGCTCGTGGAAACTGTCCATGCGGTCGGAGCTAAGTTCTGCAAGACCCGCCGCAGAAGAACACAAAAACTCTCCGATCACACTCTTAACTCATGGTTGTTAGACGGGAGATGAGGCTGCAATCGTCAACAGATTTGACAGCATACAGGCAACTGAACAGACAGATCTCCAAATGCATGCGGCGAGACTTACGCAACTTTAATACTGCTCGTATTAAAGAAGCGATCGAGCGGAACCAGGGCTCCAAAGTCTTTGCCAGAGATCTGTCTGCCAGAAAGAGGCAATTGTCAAAGCTGAAAGACTGAGTGTGGCAGCATCGTTTCCGGGAAACCTGAGATTTTGAGTGAGATTGAGAGGTTCTATGGTGTAGCTGTACACATCATCGTTGGAGCTACACGCAAGTGTGAGTAACGATCCAAGAGCAAGTCTTACCCGACACTATTCCGATGATATCCCGGACGTCAGTCTGACGATATTAGAATGGCTCTCCACCACCTTAAAAACGGCAAGGCCCGGGGCGAGGATGGAATTACAGCGGAGCTTCTGAAAGCGGGTGGAACACCGGTACTTGAAGTCCTTCAGAAGCTCTTCAATTCCATCCTCCATGGTGGCACTACTCCGGAGGCGTGGAGCAGAAGCGCGGTGGTCTTGTTCTTTAAGAAAGGCGACAACGCTCTTTTGAAGAACTACAGATCGATTTCCCTCCTGAGCCGCGTCTACGTGCTGTTTTCGAGAGTCATTACGAATCGTCTCGCACGCAGACTCGACGACTTCCAGCCTCCCGAACAAGCCGGTTTCCGAAAAGGCTTCAGTACCATAGACCACATACATACCCTTCGACGAATTGTACAGAAGACCGAAGAGTACAATCTGCTACTTTGCCTGGCGTATGTGGACTATGAGAAAGCCTTTGATTCCGTCGAAATTTGGGCGGTGCTACAGTCTCTTCATCGGTGCCTAGTTGACTGTCGGTATATTGAAGTGCTGAAGTGTTTGTACAGTAGGGCTACGATGGCTATCCGAGTACAGAACCAGAGTACGAAACCTATCCAACTGCAGAGAGGTGTAAGACAGGGTGATGTTATATCCCCGAAACTCTTCACCGCTGCGTTGGAAGACGTTTTCAAGCTACTGGACTGGAAAGGATACGGTATTAACATCAATGGCGAGTACATCACTCACCTTCGATTTGCCGACGATATAGTCCTTATGGCATAATCGCTGGAGGACCTTAGCACTATGTTCAATGACTTCAATGGTGTCTCCCAACGGATAGGTCTTAAGATGAACATGGACAAAACAAAAATCATGTTTAATGTCCATGTCACACCTATGACGGTAGTTGTTGGGAGAACTATGCTCGAAGTTGTTGACTAGTACGTTTACCTGGGACAAATAGTCCGACTAGGTAAGTCCAACTTCGACCGAGAGGTCAATCGACGGATTCAACTCGGTTGGGCAGCGTTCGGGAAATTACGACACATCTTCTCGTCAGGTATACCTCAATCTCTAAAAATTAAAGTGTATAACCAGTGCGTGTTGCCGGTGATGACTTACGGATCTGAGACGTGGTCCTTCACCGCTGGCCGTATGAGGACGCTCAAGGTCGCTCAGCGAGCTATGGAGAGGGCTATGCTCGGAGTTCCACTGCGTGATAGACTCAGAAATGAGTATATCCGCAGTAAAACCAGAGTGACCGACATAGCCCAACGGATTAGTAAGCTGAAGTGGCAATGGGCCGGCCATATAACTCGAAGAACCGATAAGCGATGGGGAAGAAAGGTTCTCGAGTGGCAGCCTCGTACCGGTAGGCGTAGTGTAGGGCGACCCCCCGCTAGATGGAGTGACGACCTGGTAAGACATGCAGGAACTCGATGGATGCAGGTGGCTCAGGACCGTGTTTTGTGGTATTACTTGGGGGAGGCCTATGTTCAGCAGTGGACTTTTGAAGGGCTGTAATGATGATGATGATGATCTATTCGATTATGGATGACTGCTAGGTAGTATGTTATCAACTGCATAGTCCGCTTAAGTTTAAGAGTAGCCAAACCCACCATACCATTAACAAACAAGGACGGATATTGATAGGGATAAAAACCGTCGCTCGCGTCCGTACGCTTCGACCACCTAACCTTAGGCCCACCCTACACGTGTCCCCAGCGTGGTGCTAAACGAGCGACAAAGCCGAAAAAATAGACTCGGCTCCTCGCCGTATGGTAGCTGCGTAAAATCTACCACCACCCCTAGTTCGCACCATGAGTCAGGAAACAAAAGTAGTGGCCCCGAGTTCCCGACGTCCCTTTAATGGGGCAGGGGTGCGAAGAATCTCCGGGAGTAAAACCGGCGACGAGGTTCGTCACCCGTCACGTTCTGTCTCCCGGAGTGGCGAAAAGTGGATTACGGAAGCCCGTATGTCTACGCTGAATGTATGTGGAGCAATAAATGATAAGATGGATGAAGTATGCGAAATTAAAGAAAGAAAGAAATGAAAGATTCACATGTATACATGGGAAAGAGGTGATGATATAAGCATAATAGATTTCATAATTGTGGATGAAAGAATGAGGAGCGCAGTCGTAGATACAAGAGTTTACCGGGGGTCCAACGTAGGGACGGATCATTACTTGGTCTTATGTCGAATTAATGGCCTTATCAAACGTTGGCGGCATCGGACATCTGTGTCTAGCACTGCGTATAAGAATAGAGAAGTTACAAGATGAGATGTGAAAGAGAAGTATAAACGTAGACTGAGAGAAAATATTAGGTGTTTGAATGAGTTGTGCATGAATGATTTAGACTTGAATAATGTGTGGCATAATATTAAGAAAGGTTTGGTGGATGCAGCCACCGAAGTATGTGGTGTAAGTAAGAGAACAAATGAAAGGAAAAGTAATACGTTGTGGTGGGATGATGAGGTACGGGTGGAAGTTGAACGAAGAAGAAAGCATGGTTACTAGGTTTACTAGCAACCAAAGCTGGTAATTCTGGTGGTATGAATGACGAAATTGAAAGATAAAAGCAGAATTTAGACGTCTAAATAAGAGAGTAAAAGAAGTAATGATTTCTCATATTTACGCGAACACTACACATTGAAATAATACTAGTTTTAACGGAATTTATCGCGTATATTTAACTTTTTAAATACCCGACGTTTCGATCGCTTTACAGCACTCATGGTCACGGGCGAGACTGAGATGTTCAACGTCCATATGTCATAGTTAACCGCGGTTACCATAGATTAAAATTTAACTTTTGTTCCATCTATGCAGTATGAACTTATGGTATCTTGAAGTCTAGCAGTTGTTTGCTTGGGTTGGGATTTAATTTTATTTATTATAGGATCCCAAGCAGATGGTAGCACCCAGCCATCTTCTCTATTGAAATTAGGATGTTTTTGATTTCAATAGCCTCGCGAATCATCCTTAGAAGGAATCGGTGTTCTTCTGCAAAACATAAAAGATATTTAAACGGTGATTCTCACCACCATCCTTCACAGTTAGCTACCGTGGGTAAATCTTTGTTTCAGAGAGCACGAGGGATCTGTGACAGTAAACACCTGGCTGCAGAGCTCCACCATGTCAAGCAAGTTTTGCATGACAACAAGCTTCGAGTCCCGCGCCTACGTCACAGTGAACAAGTGAAGCTGGCCACAGTCGAGCGTGTACCTGCTGTACTGCCATATGTTAGAGGAGTCACTGACAAGATTGGCTACATCTTGAAGCGCGCTTCCATCAAAACATACTTCAAGCCGCTGAAGAAGATTGGTCAGTTTTTACCATCAGTCAAGTGTAATGTCCCTCTGCAAGATGCAGGAGTGTACAAGCTTGATTGTGAATGTGGTCTCTCCTACATAGGACAAACTAAAAGATCAATAAAAACCCGCGTTAAAGAACATATAGCTGATGTGAAGAATCGACGCTCCGGGAAGTCTGCAGTCTGTGAACACGTACAGGATCGCCCCCGTCACTACATCAGATTTGATAGACCGCAAATCCTCGCTAAAGAACACCGATTCCTTCCAAGGATGATTCGCGAGGCTATTGAAATCAAAAAACATCCTAATTTCAATAGAGAAGATGGCTGGGTGCTACCATCTGCTTGGGATCCTATAATAAATAAAATTAAATCCCAACCCAAGCAAACAACTGCTAGACTTCAAGATACCATAAGTTCATACTGCATAGATCGGAACAAAAGTTAAATTTTAATCTACGGTAACCGCGGTTAACTATGACATATGGACGTTGAACATCTCAGTCCCGCCCGTGACCATGAGTGCTGTAAAGCGTTCGAAACGTCGAGTATTTAAAAAGTTAAATATACGCGATAAATTCCGTAAAAACTAGTATTATTTCAAAGTAAAAGAAGTAGTTGAAAGGAAAAAGCAAGAAAGAACGGATAAGAATGATATGGCATGACATGGAGGGGCAGGGGTTCATTTTCGCCCTCTGAGGAGGAAGGCGTCCTTTACTGGCTCTCTTGACCCCCACCACGTCTCTCTCTTCCGCCCCATGTTCTCTTCCCTTACCCAGGCTGACACCGATGAAGGCCGTCTACCCTAGGCGAGATAAGCGCTTTGGGACTCCGTCACTCTTACTGACAACGTCCCAGGCTCACTCCATGAAGTGGCGGTGGCGGTGGCGGCATCGAGGTTGGAGCGGTTCAGGCGCTCCTGATCTTAAAAGTTATCATTTTAAAACCAAAGACGACTCTGTCGCTTTCCACCTGGATAGCCTCCGCCAATGGGCCTTCCAGAGAAAAGATTACTAGGAACCTTCCTCTTCGTCACTGTGGTGGAGGATTTTCCAGAGCTCTGTATAGATCCCTATATTATTTTGAAGAAGACTAAGCCCCACAGGCTGACTTAGCGATAGCTTGTTTTAGCAAACTTTTTCTTGTAAGTTCCCTGGCTCTTTTCCGATAGTGGTTCGGCTGCAGACATACTCTCCACTTCATGGTTCATCCCAGTTTGGGGTGTTGGTGAGGCTAAAAGAGTCTATTCTAAATCTGCAGAGAGTTCTATTAAGGAGAGTTCTGTTTAAAATTTTGATCTTTTTCTTCCATGTTGTTCTCTTGATTAACTAGTGAAATAAACGGTCACACCCAGCAGAGCCCCGCATATCGAGGGAAGGGCCAAAATACTAACCAAATTACCCTGGTCTCGGGTAGGCACCGTTTGCGATTGGAATTCCCCCCAGCCACGCATCCATCGGAACTAACTAGAGCTATTTTCCAGGGTGTACCCGATCCCTGAAAATTATTATCCGTACTAACTGTCAAAACCTGTCATCCATCCATTACTACCTGTCAAAAATCTGACCTGTACACATACGTCACCCGTAGATTGTCTAATTGGGTTACATTTGCCATAGTTGCCACTATTGCGTGGTTTGGCAGAATATGGAGGTTGCATGTTATGGGGTAGTAGATTCTCTGACATAGCCATTACACGGCGAGCAGCTTATAACGTTATAGTTAATACAATTTGTTTTATTATTATTTATTCTTTTAGTTCCATTTAAATTATTTTCCAGCCAAAGACATCGGCCTTACGCAATAAAATTAACCAAGTGGAATTCAATATGTTGATTTGAATGCTCTATTAACAAGTACAGCTCAAATTGTTTCAATTAACAATTTTATTGGTCTTCTCTCTGTATCGTACTATGCTCGCATTCTTTAAAATTTTAAGCAACCTGATGTCCTATTTATAGTATAGTCCGTGTGTATATAGTATCTATACGATATTTTTTTAAACTGAAGTAGGTAAGTAATAAATATCGTCGAATTTAGTTTATTATTAAGTTAGAAGACATTTTAAGAGAGCCGCAGACTGTCAAACGGGGGGTTCGTTTCTTAATCGCGTCGTAGATTGGCCTTTTTCCGATCTCATGACAGGTAAGTAAGTGCTGATTTATAATTACCTTTGAATAGTTTATAGTTTTGAGGGTATTTTGCGAGTTATCGACAAGTTCCTTAATGTTATAGAGACCCTGTAGTGTATTATGGCTGCAACACAAATACTTTAGCTCGACTCGTGAAGAACCGCGTGCTCGCAGAATACGAGCCTAAATAACAACATAATGCCGCTATGTTTAGTATAATAAGCGAGGACATTTATTTTTGGTTTTATAGGGATTACTTTTATTGGTAACGAGGAATCTTACCTCGGTCCTCAAAGGTGACAACGCATCTGCGTTTTGATTCCTTTTCAAATC